TCTCCCCTAGCCAGGACCTAACCTGTGCTGCTCTTTAAGGATAGTGCTCCCTCATGGCCTGTTCAAAGCTGGGACTGGCACCACCTCAAAGACAGCTGCTATGAGCAAGACTGTGGAACAGGCTTGGGAACATGAGAGGCAGTCTGGTTTGCTTTCGTTCTCATCAGAGAGGATGAACACGTGGCCGCTGTCTCTAGCAGTCATGGTGCTGCAGAAGGAGGACACAGGGGACTCTGGAAGGGTGCCTGGCCGCTGGCTGATCCCAGGAAGGCTTGTTTTCTATCACGACTTCGTGGCTGCCCCTCGGGCTTTGGGGTTCTTGGAACTGGGAGTTCTCATTCACAGCGTAGTTCTTTTTTCCCACTGTGGCTAGACAAGTGCTCTACATGGAACCCCAGTCTCAGCCCCAGCTGTGGCATTTCGAAGGCCCTCTTTCAACGTTCTGTTTGATACAGAAGCACATATACAAGCGCATAAAAATGTGTTTAAATAGTTTGATAGTTATTTCAGTACAGTTGACTCCCATTGTAATTCAATGTATTTATTTTATTCATTAAAACATTCTTCTGAGAAGGGATCCCAGAGAAATAAGGTTGACACCTTCAGTCAGGAGTGGAAGTAACTTATGGGAGTCACTTCCCTACAAAATTAGGTTCTCATGGTCTCTCTGTAGCATGTTGCTGACAGGTCTGACATGCATTGTCTGGGATGTAAAGGATTTTTGGGTCAGGCTGACTCTGATCAGGTGCAGCTGTCAACCCTGGAGTTACAGAAACATTTCAGGCTTGAGTTTCATCTTGTGCAAAGTAGGTTAAGACTAACACTCACGTCCTAGCCACAGAGAGTGATCTGACTGAGCCTGGGCAGGTTCACACTGGAGTCACAGTAACAGCATCCATTTCCCATTATGAGCATGATGGAGGTGGCTGGGAATCTCCTTAACAATGCATGTAAAGTGTATGCGTAAGGTGGAAGGACTCCGAGATAGAGGAGGATTGTGTGGAACATGAGGAGCTTGTGTGTGGGTCATACCTGCAAAAAAAAAAAAAAGGATGGTAGACATGTGGGGGAATAGGTAGGGGCCAGACAGCTCCCTGCTGCCATACACCTTAGCAACACCTCAGGATGCACAGGTATACCCTGACGATTTCAGCATAGACAAGTGCACTCCACTGCTTCTAGTACAGCAGGATAGACAGGTGTGCCTGATGACCATAGCCCCCCAGAGCAGGCAGATGTACCTTGCTGATTGTGTATCTCACTGCCCATTGCACCTCAGGATGGACATGTGTACTTTACTGACTATATACCCCACTGGTCATAGCACCTCAAGATGGGCAAGTATAACCCACTGATTCCAATACCTCAATACTCTGTTTACCCCAGGACCTTAGAACAGGTAAGTGTACTCTACTGACTGCAACATCTCAGGATGAGCAGGTGTACTCTGCTGACCACAGCACTGCGGGCTAGACAGGTGTTGTCATTTAACATAGCACCTCAAGATGGGTGAACGTCACAACCTGCAACTCCACAGGCCAGTGTACCTTGCTACTGACAGAGTGTTCTGTCAGCACCATGGTTCTGAGGTTGGTTAATAGTGGATTTCTAGATTGCACTGTAGAGACTCTGCATCAAATATCAAGATTACCTTCCTCCATCCAACACAGTGCAGCCATCATTCCTGCTAGCAGGCCCTGATGTGGTAGTATTGTGTTCCCCAAAATACTGTGCACCCTAATAAACTTATCTGGGGTCAGAGAACAGAACAGCCACTAGATACAGAGGCTAGAAAATGGTGGCACTCACACCTTTAATCCTAGCATTCCAGAGGCAGAAATCCCTCTGGATCTCTGTGAGTTCAAGGCCACATTGGAAACAGCCAGGCATGGTGACACACACCTTTAATCCCAAGAAGTAAGCCTTTAATCCCAGGGAGTGATGGCAGAAAGCAGAAAGGTATATAAGGCGAGAAGATCAAAAACTAGCAGCATTTGGCTGGTTACGATTTTGGCTGGTTAAGCTTTCAGGCTTTTGAGCAGAAGTTCAGCTGAGATTCATTCTGGATGAGGACTCAGAGGCATCCAGTCTGAGGAAACAGGATCAGCTGAGGAATTGGCAAGGTGAGGTAGCTATGGCTTGTTCTACTTCTCTGATCGTCCAGCATTCACCCCCAATAACTGGCCTCAGGTTTGATTTTATTGATAAGACCTTCTAAGATTCCTACTACACCCTGACATTGCTGTGTGGTCAGAAGTTTATAAGGGGTGATCTAGGAGATCCAGAGGACAGGGATCAGATACTGGGCAGGGAAAGGGAACTCTCCATTCAAGGGAGGAAACAGCTAGAGAGTGAAGGTGGATCCACCTGCCTATCACACGGGTAGCTATGACAGAATCTTGACAGGATCTCTGGAAATGGGATCACCACAAGTTTGCCCCATGGATGGACAAGGGAGTCAAACTCTTGTCACTCTTAGGAGTGATCCCCTCCCTCCCTCCTTCCTTTCCTCCCTCTCTCCCTCCCTCTCTCCCTCCCTCCCTCCTTCCTTCTCTCCCTCTCCTCTGCTGTGAAGTGAACTATTCTGCCTTGTCCTACACCTCAGGTTCATACCTCACCATGTTCTCTGTCTTAGTTAGGGTTTCTATTTCTGTGCAGAGACACCATGACTACAGCAACTTTCATAAAGGAAACATTTAATTGGGGTGGTGGCTTACAGTTTCAGAGGTTTAGTCCATTATCACCATGGCGGGGAGCATGGCAGCCTGCAGGCAGACATGGTGCTGGCTACTTCTTGATCAGAAGGCAACAGGAAGTGGACTGAGAATGGCTTGAGCAGATATGAGACCTCAAAGCCCACCTGCGCAGTGACACACTTCCTCCAACAAGGCCACAGTCACTCCAACAGAGCCGCACCTCCTAATAGTGCCACTCCCCATGGGGGCCATTTTCTTTCAAACCACCACTGTCTCCAAACAGCAGAGCCAGACAACCATGGATCAAAATCTTTGAAACTGAGCCAAAATGAAGGTTTTCTCCTCTAAACTGTTTCTCTTCAGTATTAGTCACATTGAGTGAGAGTGTAACTCACCCTCACTACCCCTATTTCCTCATTTTGTCCCCCTTCCCCTTTCTCCCAGTTCTCTCAAGGAGCATCACCTCCCTGCTGCTGGCAGGTATACAATGGGGTTTCAATGCTTCACCAATGTCAACCTTGTCATTACCATGTTTCCTGATTCAGGATGAAGGGCTAAGCTTCCCCGCTGTCAATCGGTAGGTCCTCTGTGTGTGAGAGCGAGTAAGCTATGGTTGTAGAAATTGTAAGTCCCTGTAGGGAGCAGAGGAAGCTCTGGCTGAGTGAAGTGCTGTGTGTGTGTGTGTGTGTGTGTGTGTGTGTGTGTGTGTGTGTGTGTGTGTGTGTGCTGTTGACATAGGCCTGGCCATGTCAAAGACCTCAGAACCTCAAACCCATGGAGAAACGTCAAAGTCTTCCCCATGGGGCAAGGCACATAGGCATAGGAATGGCAAAGCCTTCTTTGGGGAACTGAGTGCTAGTGTTGACAGTGTGTGCAAAAAATTGCCCCTGTAGAGATTTGCACCTACCAAGACACCTAAATCCATCTTTTTGATCCAGCTTTGTACCATAAACCTGGCCTCCTTATTTATCTGTATGTATGTGAAACTGTATGCTATAATCCCACCTCTCTGTTCAACTCTGCATAACAAGTACCCTGAGCTTTCACAGTGCTGAGATTTCTCCAGCAGAGAGCCCTGACCATCCAATCCTAGCTTTCTGTGTGTCTGTTGTTTTTCTATCCCCTTGCCACCCTAGTAAGGTCCAAGTCCCTAGAGCAATGCATGGGTGTGGCACATTCCTCTCTCCCAAGCAGGTGATAAGTTTTATTTTGTACAGTTAATTCTACTGTTTTGGTTGCAATGAAATCGATTTTGAAAGAAATGAAATGTTGAAAGTAAATTTTGCTAGCTGGTTAGATGCTTATTGTTCAACTTCTTTTTCCTGAGGTAAAATGTCTTAGCCTAGAAATACGTATTATTGCAAAAATGCAGCATTTTTTAAGATATGACTACTACAGCTTTTATTTTAGTTTGACTTTTGTTTCTCTATAAATTGAGTTTCAAAGACTACTCACAATCATGAAAATCTTTAGCACCAAAACCTTGGATGGAATGTGTCTTAACGTTAGAAGCACTGTGTGGAACCTGGGCAGGGTGAGCTGTTCAAGGAGTGGAATGGCTTGGATGCCATGTATTCTGAGGTGTGTGGCATGGTATGGGAAGATTTGAATATTGGAAGTGGGTGGAATGGCCTGGGAACCATGGGGCCTGAGGGTGGGTGGAGTAGTCTGTAAGTGTGTGGGCACAGAAGGTGTAGCTCACACTGGTGTGGCATGAAAGTTGGATTTGAAATGAGACTGAAGTTCTCCCACAGATGGAGCTGTGGAATAAGTGAGATGGAGGCTGAGTGTCAGGCCCAGCTCTCAAGAAACAATGCTACTGGAGCTATTTCTAGCCCTGAGTTGGCTGGAGAGAACTGCATCCACTCTCAGGATGCCCTTTGTCCACATCCACAGGTCCAAGGCCTGCCCCTGTTTCAGACCTTTCCTGTTCAGACTTTCCAGCTATCCACCCCACCCTGACTCTTGGTACAACTATCCTTTCCTTGCTTCATCCTATCTTGAAATTTCCATCTGTTATCTTCTTTTGTAAATGTGTAAGGTTTTTTTTTTCCTGTACTTATGTCTCTTACCACATGCATTCCTGATGCCCACAGAGGCCATCACATTCCTTGTAATTGAAGTTACAGATAGATGTGAGCCACCATCTAGGTACTGTGAATTGAACCCAGGTTCTCTGGAAGAGCAACCAGTGCTCATCACCTTTTAGCTATTGCTACAACTCCCCATCATCTGTTATTCTATTTTTTAAATAGATCACCTGGTTTGTGCTTTTGTTTAATTTTAGTTATTTCAATCATATAGGTATATGGAGCACAATGTGGCATTTCAATCCCTGTGCACAAGATGTCTTGGCTAATAGAGACAACTTACACTTTCATATCATCATTACTGTGTGTGCAGCCTTCAAGTTCCACTCTGGTTCTTACGCACTATAAAGGCACACGTGGCACTGTTGAACACTGGTTTATCACGTCTATCTAATGGTAAGTTACCCTGACCCCCAGCCTCCGTAGTCTCTAGTCTACATTAGTTTGGCTTTTAAAAGAATCCACATGTGATATTTGTCTTTCTGGATCTGAAATTTTACTCAGCTCAGTGTCCTGCAGGTTTATTCTGCTATAAGGGGCAGGGAGTCATCTGTATATGTGTTCCATTGTACACACAGCACATTTTTTGATCATTCATCTGTTAATGGACATCTAGGTTGATTCTACATCTTAGTTATTGTGAATGGCAAACAGTAACCAGGGGTGTGCATGCTTCTCTGTTGCTACAGAAGACTGCTGTGTCAGTACTCGAAGGGCAACCCGCTAGGTGACTGTCTCAATTTCCAGTTCAGTGGAACTAGTGTTATGTTTCTTGGTGGAACATTCTACCCTTGGGAATCCCCAAAAATCTGAGTTCAAAGTCAGAGTTGTACCAGTGGGGGACACAAAGTTAGCTGTGAGCTGTAACCACTGTGCTGTTCTGCGGGGGTAACGCCTGGTGGGCAGACAAGCACCGTGTTTGTCAGGACACAGAAGTCCACAGGGGTGTTTTAACACATTCTGAAGTGAGGGAATGGGTAGGCCCACACTGGTGACTTGAAAAGGATGTAGTTCGAAACTGGACAGGTCAGGCTGTGTGGAGCCCTTTGTGGGGGGACCCAGCATACCCAGCCATTTGTGCTCATGTCTCTGGCTTAGAAGCAACTCAAGGGTCAGAGGTCTTTGGATCTCATTGATTATCTAGGAGTGGTCTTCTTGTCCAATTTTAATTTTTTAAAATTATTCTTTGATGGTTTCATGTATGTATGTATGTGTGTATGTATGTATGTATGTATGTATGTATGTATGTATGTACGTATGTATGTATGCATGTATGTATTTTGATCAGTTTAGCCCCTTGTCGCCGTAGTCCAGTTTTAGTAGCTGCTATTATTAGGAGCTAACTAAGGGACAATTTTGTGTTCCTGCATTCTTGCCAACAATCTTGAAGAGTAGGCATGGCTGTTTCCATCTAAGGGGGACGTGGGGAGGAGAGGTAGATGCCTCTAGTAAAACCAGCGTCTGGTGGAGACACATGGTGGCAGCTCATGGTCCTGCCTGTGGTTGCTACCTCACAGCTGTTTCCTATTTCCTGAGCATGGATGTTACCTTTTCCTCACCTCTGAGAACTGCAACCTGTAGATTTGACAGAATTTCACTCTGGTGACAATGTGGCATTATTAAGACTGTCTTCCTGGTATGTACTGTCTATCCGTCTCCATCTTTCTCTCTGTCATTGTGTGTCTATCTCCCTCTCTCTGATCAGTCTGAGGAGAGGAAGCTTCTGTTGGGAGCTGCATGGTAAAGAACAGCCGGGGTCAAGGCCTTTAGTCTTTCACCATAGGAAGTGAGTTCTGCCAATGGTTTGGGAGAACGCAGAAGTGAGACACTTCTTCAGTTGAACTTCTGATATGACTGTGAATCTGGCAGGTACTTGGTGAGACCTTGAGCATGGGGCTGAGCTGAGCTCAGGCCAGGGCCCTGTGCCACAATGCAACACATAATACTGTCATTGTTTCTGAGCTCATAAATCAATAACAGACCCAGATGTAGGAGCCACCAGTGGTAATGCACTGGGTTAGGCAGGAAATGAGGTGTGGCGAGTCGGGAAGGGCCAGAACAGAAGAGGTTTGTTTTCCCTGGGGAGGGGAGAGAGAAGGGAGTGCCCAAAGGACCACTGTGAACCTGTAAGATCACGTGACAGGTGCACAGAGGGGAATAAGAGTATCAAGCTGGGTGTTCAACTTTGCCCTGCCCTCACCTGGCTCTGTGACTCGGGAGACCCTACCTGCTGTGAGTCAGGTGTCAGAGGCACATTACCCATGAGAAGAGAGAAGGTGTTGAACCACTAGTGCCTTGGGAGAACCTGCAGTCACTGAGGCATCCCTCCCCTGCACCCTATTCTGTCTTCAGAGTGGAGAGGAGTGAGATGGACCACAGTGTTCCAGCTCCTGATCTGAAGCCATACAGATAGCTTCTGAGGAAAAACATACTAGTGCGTGTAAACAGGTTCCAATCACAGGGTTGTCTGATGCTATAACAGAATGTTACAGACTATTTTTTTTAAGTTTAGTGAAATAAATAGAGGAACTTTATTAAAAGGAGGCTGCTGAGAGCAGCATTGAGGTAGGGAGTGGGGAAAACGTAGACACAGAATGGTGCTGGGCCACAAGAATCTTAGGGTCTGTAACCAGGTGTTTGCTAAGAAATAGTTTACTCGGCTCACGTTCTAGGCATATAAACTCAGGACGAGGGCCTTTGATCTGCAGCACCCAGGATCAAAAGATGCAAGCACACAAGAGAAGTACGGGGCCCACCTTCATCCTTTCATCAGGGACCCACTCCTGTGTTCATCAACCTGATTCAGCGGTAACAGTATTAAGCCATTCCCCTGTAACTGTTCGCCTTTTAAGCATCCCACCCCCTGATACTATCATAGTGGCTATTCCATTGCAACATGAGTTTTGGGGGGAATATCCAGACCATGACAGGTCCACCTATCAGAGGTTTATTTTATTTATTTATTTATTTATTTATTTATTTATTTATTTATTTATTTATTTATTTATCTTGTGTTTTTCATTGTTTTATTAAGAAAAATTTTCCATTCATTTTACACATCAATCAAAGAAGAGGTTTATTTTAAAGTGAAATAGGGAGTAAATGTGAATATAGTATCTTGTGCAGGCTGAGGGAACCATGAGAACATCCAGTCACAGTTATTCTTACTGTCTTGTTGGCTATCGGGTTGGCCAGGAAGGCTGACTCAGACTCCAGCCGCAGGAGAAGCTGGGGTCCCCACATTCTCTGCTTATCTGAGATAGCAGGGTACCCCCTCCTGACTAGAAGTCCAAACCCCTGCTTTTTGGAGCTCAGCCTGATTATTTATTGTTACCCAGTAGAGGGCATCTGCTTCCCTGTAATGTGTCCTGTTCTGAACCACCTCTGTGGGCCATTTCAGTTAATTACCGATCTGCAGTTACAGCAAAAGATGGTGTCCCCAGCAGCCCAGTGGTGTCAAGATGAGCAGCCATGCCCTGGGGCTGGCTCAGAAGCTGGAGACGTCCTTGACAGAGCTTTCTTCCTGCTTTTCCTCCTTGGAGTGTGGTTCTGTGGATCAAAGAGGCTTGTACTGGTTTGGGTTTGCTTTCTATTCTTGTGATAAAGACAATGACCACAAGCAGCTTAGGGAGGAAAGGGTTAATTCAGCTTACACACTTCAATCATAGTCTATCATGAAGGAATGTTGGGACAGGAGCTCATGGAAGGGACTGAGGTAGAGGTCACAGAAAAACACTGCTTGTTGACTTCTCCTTGGCTTACTTAGCTTCCTTTCTTCTACCACCCAAGACTACCTGCTCAGGAGTGGTACTGCCTCCTATGAGCTGGGCCCTCCTACGTCAATCATTAATCAAGAAAATACCCCACAGGTTTGTGTACAGGCCAATCTGATGGAGGTATTTTCTCAGCTGAGGTTCCTCTTCCCAGGTAACTGTAGCTCGTGTTAAATTGACAAGAAACTAACTGGACAAGGCTGGAAAGTGGTCCTAAGCCCCCTTCTTATGAGCCCCACAGTGTATTCAATCCATGAATCATTCCATTCATTCATTGAAGTTTCATGAACAGTGAGGTTGTGGGTTAGGTAAAGATGAGCAGAGAGAAAGAAGAAAGCATGTAACCAATCTATGTGAGGCTCGTTGAATGTTCAGTTGGGTTTCTGAGCTACTGAGTAATAAGTAAACTGAATACTGAGATGATGACTTCAAGGTCTGACCTCGAGGATGAGGCATGAAAGGACGGACTTACGAGGCTCAAAGGGTGACTCAGTCTCAACTCTTGCTCTCTAGGGACAACACTGGTGGAGAGGAAGCCGGGAGTTGGCTGGCTCTACAGGTGGGTGGGGTGGAGGGAAGGCACAGGCACACCTCATCTCTACCCTGAGGCTCCTTTTCTGAGGCTCTTTCTGGTCATCTTCTCTAACAAATGCCCATGATGTGATTTGTTAAATGCTGTGGACAATGACAGGTTGATGATATGCAGGCTACAAGTGCATTTACCAAAGCAACAGAAAAATGTGGAGTAGAAAGATTATCAAATACATCTTGGTAAGGCAGGTGAGTAGGGGAGAAGGAACCCCAGAGTGAGGCTGAAAGTCACTGGATGCTTTTTACAGCCGTTGACTTTTGGTTATTTATCCCATGGGCAGTTTGTTTGAGGGTCCATCTCTCTTGAGACTGGCCATTTGTAGTATCTCTAGATATGTGTATGAGCTATCACAATTTATTGGGGGAGACTTAGAGTCGTCAGGATCTGATGTTAAAATATGTGAATTTTTGTTGTTAATTTTGGCCTTTTTGTCTCTACATTCAAGTTCAAAGGAAGCAGTGGGACCAACCATCCCATGTGATAGGTGGATCTGCTCTGCCAGGGAGCAACAGGGAATATGGAATGAGTTCTTACAGATGGATGTAATGATGTTGCCTTAAACAACGCATTACTGTGGGTTATCCCAGGAAATCTTGTATATTAACTCTCCAGTAGTGCAAGGCTGATCTTACATTGGAGTCTATCCTGAAGAAAACTGGCTAAAGTCTACAGAGTACTCATCCCCATACATGTCCATCAGTAGAACTGTGATCAAGACATCACTTTGCTTTTGAGAGAAAAGGTGGGAGAGCAGAGAAGCATCAACAGAACCTATAGATGCTAGACACACTATTTGGTGCTTGAGAGCCCATTTCTCCCACTTCTTTCCAGGGCTCCTATCTCAACATAGCTCAAAAACACAAGAACCTAGGAGCTGAGGAATGACAAAAAATGAAACCCAAGTACTATCTTTTGTTGTTTCCTCTTATAATGATGGCAAGGCATGGACTCCCTTTTCTTGCATAGAGACCATAGAATTTGTTACTCTTTTCTGCCTACAGCTCCCTTTTGTGTCTGTCTGTAGGACCCTT